GTTCAGACTCTCTGGGCTGCAGTTTCTCTTCATATTAATCTTACATTAAAAAACACTCTAATCATTCCCATGACAAACAGCAGCAGATATGATCCAAGATTATTCTAAACTATACACAACTAAACTATAATCCTTTATAACTCTGTGGAGTCAGAGGAGTCAATGAATCCCCTGAATGGAAAAGCCTAGTTTTAGATGATTTATTATTTCATACTTAATCTTCACACTATGTGTTTCTTCTGTGACACAGGTCTTCAGACACAAGGCATCGAGTCTCCACAGGTGTTCCTGGTGTCCAGCTTTGAACTCCACCTGTACCACTTCTCTCTCTTACATGAGACCTTAGAGAGAGAACTTCCTGCACACAAGAGAGATGCTCTGCTGCGCGCCATGCCCAACTTCAACCCAGAGATCATCAGGAAGAAGAAACAAGCTCTGAAGTCCAGAATAAAATACTGGGCTACTCTGTCTGCAGCTGGAGCAGCTGTTCCAGTTCCTGGTCTTTCTATTGATGTTGATATTGCTGTGCTGGTTGATGTTGTCACAGATTACGTTCATGCGTTTGGTCTCGATATCTGGTCGCTGAAGAGACTTTCTGCCAGAACAGGTGTGCCATATGCTGATCTGTGTGCTTTCATCATTTCACCACTGGCTGCAGTAGAAATAAGTATACATCTCCTCATTAAGGTGATAGTCCGACTTGGGTCCGTAGCTGCATTAATTGCAGCAGAGGAAGTGTCCAGATTTATTCCAATTATTGGAATTCCAATAGCAATGGGTCTCTCTTTCACCACAACTTACAGAATTCTGAATTTGATCCTTGATAAGCTCGCTGATGATGCTCAGAGGGTGTTTGAAAGAGCTTTAGGCTGAACACATCAGTGTGAATTTGAAAGTAAAAGATGAATGAAACTTAAAAGAGTTTAAATGAAATTAGTTTAAATCATTAAATATAAATATATTGAAACCAAATCATATTGCAGCTGCATATTTGAGCCATTATCCTACTATAGCTGATGTTAATGTTCTAATAACTTCCTGTCACTGCCGGATGCTCGCTTATCATCTTGACACATCAGCAGCAGTTCTGCGACAAACTGCTCTTTTTGCAACCCCGAGCAAAACATGATTAAACTTTCACCTATAAATGATTCTCTCT